TGAAAAACTGGATTGGCTGCTATATGTAATGCTGCTTGATTATCACAATATAATAATGCTGGTTCGGACAGTGGAACATTCAAGTCTTGAAGAATGTATCTTAACCAAGTTAACTCTAAACAAGTATTTGTCATAGCTCGATACTCGGCTTCTGTTGATGATCTGGACACATTAGTCTGCTTTTTAGACTTCCAAGAAATAATTGAATTTCCGAGGAAAATGCAGAACCCAGAAATAGATCGTCTGGAAGTTCGACAACCACCCCAGTCAGAATCGCAATATGCCTGTAATCTTAAATTGTTTTCAGATGGCAGTAGAAGTCCTTGACCAGGAGTGCCTTTGATGTACCTCAGAACTCGAAGAGCTGCCTCCCAATGTGGTTTTCTTGGTTCATGCATAAATTGGCTAAGCATACGAACTGAATAAGCTATGTCAGGCCTAGTGACGGTCAAATATATTAATCTGCCAATCAACCGTCTGTATTTACTTGGATCATTCAACTTCTCTCCTTCGGTTAAAGAAAGTTTCAGATTTTGCTCCATAGGAAATTTGTCTGGACGTGCTCCTGTAAGACCTGTGTCTTGAAGGATGTCTAGAGCATACTTCCTTTGAGACATAAAAATTCCTTTTCTAGATCGAGAAAATTCAATGCCTAGAAAATATTTCAAATTTCCTAAATCTTTGATAAGAAATTTCTGGAGTAAACTAGTCTTGAGATATTGAATTTCTTCGAGATCATTGCCTGTCAACAGAATATCATCAACATAGATTAGAAATATCATCAACATAGATTAGAACTGCAGTGAAAGAAGTACCTTTACTCTTAGTAAACAAAGAGTAATCTGCTTTGGACTGAGTGTAGCCTGCATTTTGTATAATTGTAGAAAATATGGAGAACCAATTGCGAGAAGCCTGTTTTAATCCATAAAGAGATTTATGGAGCCGACATACTGTATTCTCCCCCTGTCGGCGAAGACCTGGTGGTAAAGACATATAAACTTCCTCGTCTAGATTACCATGGAGAAAGGCATTTTGAACATCCAACTGATGGGTGAACCATTTTCGAGCAGCAGCAACAGTGAGTAAGCAACGAAGTGTAGTAAGTTTCGCTGTAGGGGAAAATGTTTCTGTGTAATCAATACCTTCAACCTGAGTGTACCCCTTTGCTACTAGTCGAGCTTTATAACGTTCAACAGAACCATCAGAGTTGTATTTAATTTTGTACACCCAACGACAACCAATAGCTTTATGACCAAGTGGTAGAGGAACGAGAGACCATGTATGATTACGTTCCAAAGCTGCAATTCATCATTCATAGCCTGCTGCCATAACGGGTCGCCAACTGCCTCGTCATAGGTTTTAGGTTCTGTCTGGGATGTAATAAGAGCTAGAAAAGCACGTTGAGTAGCAGAAAAACGAGAGAATGAAAGGTAATGATGAAGGGGATACCTGGTGCCAGTGCCGGGACTTGAGCTAGAGGTTAAATGATTGGCTCCAGAAGACATCTCATAATCCTTATGCCAAGCTGGAGGCTGTTTAGTACGAGTAGAACGTCGAAGTGGAGCTGATGTATCAGGTGGGATAGGATTGGAATTAGTGGGCGAATCTGGAGAAGGTGGAGGAGACGACGGAGTAGTAGGTGAAGGGATAGGAGGTGAAGGAGGAGTAGGAGGTGAAGGAATAGGAGGTGAAGGAGGAGTAGGAGGTGAAGGAATAGGAGGTGAAGGTGGAGGATGGATGTTTGAGTAGGATGGATCATGAAGTGGTACAACAGGAGTCGAAGGAGCTAATGTCGAAGTTTGTGAAGCTGATGAAAAAGGAAAATCATCTTCACAAAATTTGACATCACGGCTGATAAAGAATGTGTGAGATTGCATGTCATACAACTTGTAACCTTTATGACCACAAGGATATCCTACGAAAACACAAGGAGTTGCCCTAGGTTCAAATTTTTGCTTAGGATGTACTATAGTTGCATAACATTTACAACCAAAAACTTTAAGATGATGAAATGTAGGTGGTCGTTTGTAGAGTGCTTCAAAGGGTGTCTTGTTAGATAATAATGGTGATGGCGTTCTATTTATAAGATAAACAGCCGTTAAAATGCACTCTCCCCAAAAATTAAGTGGAACCTGTGACTGAAAAAGAAGAGACCTAGCTACATTTAGGATATGGCGATGCTTGCGTTCTACGACTCCATTTTGTTGTGGAGTATAGACACAAGTGCGCTGAAATTCAATACCACAAGAAGTAAAGAATGGTTGCAAAGATAGGAACTCAGTCCCATTGTCTGATCGAACTATCTTGATAGTAGTATGAAATTGAGTTTGAACGAATTTAACAAAGTTCATCAACAAATGATGTACTTCTGACTTATGTTGCATTAAAAAAACCCAAGTACATCGAGTAAAATCATCAACAATAGTGAGAAAAAAACGCAAACCAGAATGGGTAGGAATTTTATGTGGTCCCCAAACATCACAATGTATCAGATCAAAAGCAGAATGGGTTGTTATTGAACTTCTTGGGAAAGACAACCTAGTTTGTTTTGCTAACGGGCAGATACTGCAATTATGAGAATAACTCGCATTATTAAGATGCAATTGATCAGCTAGAAATTTAAAACGAGAAAAGGAAGGATGACCTAGGCGTAAATGCCACAAATCAGATGACTGAGATACTTGATGAGCTGAAGACTTGATTGGAGATGAAGAAATATGATAGAGACCTCCAAATTGTTTACCCGAGCCAATCATTTTCCCCGTAGCCAAGTCCTGCATAACACAAGAATCAGGATAGAAGGTGACATAACATTTCAAGTTATTGGTAAGTTTGCTGATCGACATTAGGTTTAAATTGAATGAAGGCACACATAAAACGTTGTTTAATTTAAGGTTAGGGCTAAGGGAAATATTGCCAGTATGTGACACACGTGCTGTCTCTGCATTAGGCAAATTTATTGTAGACATGATGGCAGCCTTTGGTTCAGTCATAACAGAAGATTTTGATACTATATGATCCGTAGCTCCACTATCGAGAATCCATGAATTAGAACTCGCAGAGTTAATAGATAATGTAGATATGGGAAACAAACCTGCAACATTGATGTGATTGTCAGAATTACCAGAAGGGTGATGATTGATTGCAGATAAGGCTTGTGCTATCTGTCGTAATTGCTCAGAAGAAAAATTTGGAATGGAATTAGGTGACTGTTCTTCTGTATTCAACTGTGAAACATCGGCCATATTTGCAGATGATCGATATCCACGGTTATTGTGTTGATTGTCTTGTCTTGTCCTTCCAGAATTATTTTTCTGTCGACACCGATCTTCTGTATGGCCCCTTCTATCACAAAACTTACAGTGAAACTTAAGAATTCGACACTCATTAATTGTATGACCACTTTTATTGCAGTGTTCACACAATTTGTCCTTGGCGAATTTTGAATATATTGTTTTCTTTTGCACTGCTGATGCAATCGAGATTTTCTCAGTAGGTTCGGAAGTTACCTGACGCTGCATCTCTTCTTGTACAAGTAATGAATAGGCTTGCCTCACATTAGGTAATGGAGACATCATCAATATGTTAGATCTCACCGTTTTATAAGACTGATTGAGCCCCATGAGCAATTGCATCAACTTGTCTTCTTCGCGTTGATCAATATGTATTTGACGTTGATTACAGGTAAATGGTGTGCGGTACGCTTCCAGTTCATCCCAGAGTGCTTTGAGCTTGGTGAAATATGTTGACAGTGTCATGGTTCCTTGTGACATCGTTGCTATCGAGTTTTGTATTTGAAAAATTGCTGGAGCATTCTTTTGTGAGAATTGATCGTGAAGATCAACCCACGCTTGATGAGCTGTCTTGGCGTGAATAATGCCTTTAGCGATATCTGCTTCAACGGAATGAGTTAACCAAGATATTATCATACTGTTGCACTGATTCCAGAGTTCGAATTCGGTTGAATTTGCATCTTGGGACGGTTCCTCAATTGTGCCATCAATGAAGCCAATTTTCTTCTTGGCAATAAGAGCATGCATAACTGATTTCCTCCGGGATTGATAATTTGCTCCATTTAATTTGATTGGAACAAGTGAATATCCTGGCTGATCAGAGTGATGAATATAGTACGGATGTGTTAAATCAACATCCGAAATTTTGAAGCTAGATTTGGCTGATTCTGCCATAAAGAAAATTTTGATATTTAAGAACACCAAGATCGGTGCTCTGATACCATGTTAAGAATGAGAAATAGAAATAGAATTGGGATCGAAAGTATGATCTTCATTCAGGTTTACCACGTTTAAATAGGATACAAACTATCAACTAATACCTAAAAATAGAAAAATATATATCTAATTAAATCTGGTAAATAAATAAAATATACGGTTAATCAAATCTATTCTAACAGCTTCCTAAATATCTAAGATATATTCTAACTAATTATCACGGCAAAATATCCTCTTAATAGTTTCACATCCCCTCGTAGCATTAGACCAGACTATTCTTCCATGAGCACAAACAAGAGATAGAAAAAGAATTTACATTTCCTAGGAATGGGGGACTTCCAAAGGTTCTTACAAAAGGATAGTCTAGTAAGAGAGTCAAATCCTTCATGGAGAAACAATTTCATATGACAGTGTAAGTTAAGGAGTCGTCAAGGGGGGAAAATCTGTCCATATTGTGTAAAGTGATTGTGCAATACTTGCTAATACTTGCTCTTTCCCTAGAGCAGGTCGGCCAACTTGAATTTGGAACGTTGGTGGCATAAATTGCCTACCTCTCAACTTCTACCCCCGTTCTGAGAAAAGAATTTTAGAAAATGGGGTTGAGAGAAAGGTTTTAAAAACATTTGTTGTAGGCTAGAAAGCAGGTAAGATTAACCGATTTGATAGAATACGACCAAGGTCGAAAGGATTGACAACCAATCTTACCCTCTATAGTACATTTTGATTAGGCATAATCAATGTGTTGTCAGCTTTAGAGGATTCCAAATCTTGGATCCTTAACAAAGATGTTCCATTTTCGGTCAATTCCTCAACTTCTCAGTCGGTCAAAGGTGATTTGGAGGGCTAAAATTCCTAAGAAAGTGAAAGTCTTCCCATGGATCTTTGTAAAGGAGAAGATAAATACAGGGGATTTGATTCAAACAAGAAAGCCAAAAACCAAGACTTCAATTGAATGGCTAATTGAGTGTGCCTCTAAAAGGAATACAGTACCTCAATTAAAAAGGCCCCATCTTGCTGGTAGGTGATTTTGTAAGTGCAAACGGCTTGGAGACACTGCTATCATATTGATTCTCCCACTCAAACTCCATTGTGCACCTAGCACAACGAGGACTCTATACTGAATATAAATCATTCCCTGATAAGATAAAGAATTTTCAATTTAAGAACTGCTTTCTAAAACAATTAAGGTCAGAGAAATAGATAAGAGCTTGCAATACCAGAAGAATTTTCAGTAAGTTTAGAATGTTCCAAGCTGACGATACAAGCAGCAGCTAGACGGGCATTAAGTCCAGCAGCTTCATATCCTTCTTTTGCCATCAAAAGATTAGAAGGATCGACAAAGAGGTCATCTTTGTAGCGCTCAATAAAATGAGTTTCCACATCCCCTCGTTCAAATGCGTAATGATTTGCAAGTTTTAATAAAAAGTTTATGTGAGATCTCACATCGATTGGAGAGAGGAACGAGTGCCAGTGAGGATGCTGGCCACGAAGGAGGTGGATTGTGAGATCCCACATCGATTGGAGAGAGGAACAAAACATTCTTTATAAAAATCTTGAGAGAAAATTCTAAAAGAGAAAGCTTAAAGAGGACAATATTTGCTAGCAGTGGGCTTAGGCGAACGAAGCATTCTTTATAAGGGTGTGAAAACCCCTCCTCACCAAACACATTTTAAAAACCGTGAAGGAAAGCCTGAAAGAGAAATGACCTCAGTGATTTTGTAGGAATTTGAATTTTTGAAGGGTTGAAAATTAGCTGCAAAATGTTTACTCTACACAATTTTAGCACACTGTCAATTAAAAAAGCTAAGCCAAAGTCAGAAACCTCTTGAACATAAACCTACAAGCAGCGTGATATTGAATCATTAGACAACTTGATCAATAGCAGCTATAAAATAACTATATTAGCCATTGAAGCAACCAAGTCTACCACCTTCACTACTTCAAATTCCAAATCATTCTTATTTTCAATGAAAACTTTAGTTTCTTGTCCAAAAAGAAAATCATGTTGAACAGTAAATTCCGCAACGCAAACTAATTCTGACTAAATTTACCTCAAACAACACGATTTTCTCCCGAAACAAGCTTAGCAATCATAGGATCATAATGCACACTAACAGCATCTCCTTGTTCAACTCCAGCTGCAGAAACTGAAAATTTCAAGAAAAAACATTGAAATAAAAGCGAACGAGAAAATTCCAAGTAAAAGGTAGTAAGCAATCAGACATAACTAAGAAATCATCTAAGATATTTCAACAAAATTCATTTCTAGTTGCAGAAACTGAAGACTGAATTACTACACTCGTGAAATAAAATATCGTACTGGACTTGAAACACGAACGGAACAATTACGGTGAAGACTTCCAGTCGCCGGAACGAAACCTGCATATCGATGATCAGTTACAACTTAACAGTATTTTATTCTTATCGATTGAGATTTGGAAACCCGCGCCATTTTTGGGCCGGCCCATTTAATTTTTGTCCTTTTTATTATTATTTCCTAATTTCCTAATTGTTTTTGTTTTTAAAATGAATTTAATCATTTTAACTCTCAAACATTCCCTTAATTACGATCAAATATTCTTAATTATAATCATTCTAATATTTTATATAAATAAAAATATATTCTTAAATATATGTTTGAATATTTATATTTATTTAAATTTAAATTATTGTCGACTTCTTTAAATAAATACTTTATTTTAGTCACTAACTCTTCTGCCTACTATATGTTCCATTAAATTTTTAGACAGGATCGTAACATTCTCCTCTCGTTAATCTAACCTCTAAAGAATTTAGCTCTATTTTAAATCATACAAACTCTTTTATTTAAATAGCAATATCTTTTTTCCTAGTACAACAAATGTAGAGTACAAGAATTTGAACATTCGACCTTAACGAAAAAGGTACATATTAATTACTGAGTTGTTCGTGTTAACACAACTAGTAATATGATATCCCACATAGGTTAGAGAGGGAAACAAAGCATTCCTTACAAGAGTACGAAAACACGTCCCTAGTAAACACGTTTGAAAACTATGAACCTGACATCAGTATGTAATGGGCTAAAACGAACAATATCTATTAACAGTGAGTTTAGGTTGTTACGAGTTGCTAAATTATGCTCATATCAACATATGTAGCACTAATCTAATCTCTTCGTGATCATCGATTTGATTGACAAGTTCGTGAAAATGACGTCTATACGAAGAGTTCAAATAATTAAGTTGGGTCGTATTTGATGGATAGGAAGGCAACATGGGATGCATCAAAGGCATGTTTATGGTTGTGGCATGTCCCGTTTGTCTTAATAACTTAAAAGGCCCAAAACCAGAAAGTCAATATATTTCTGCTTTATTTAATTAATTGTACTGTCCCAACATCTCAAATGCAAAAATAAATAAATAATTATAATTTTTAAATTTCTAAAAAATTATTTTAAAAAGTCGGCAAAAAATTAAATTTGTAAGTATCCAGTCATCTAATTTCTAAAAACTATTATTTTTCGTAATATTTTTTTTATTTAAAAGATATTAAAACACATAAATTGAAAAGTAACTCTTAAATATATATTATTATCCTCAATTTTCAAAAATAAATAATTAAAAAAAAAAACTTTGGGATGTGATTGGCCAATCATTTCATTTTCACTCCAAATTTCCAATAAAAAATCATATGCGTTACATTTAATATAAATTATAAATTATAAGCTAATGTTTTAATTTGATTCCATTTCAATCTTCCTTCTTATCCCCTCACCGCCCTTTCTATTTCAATCATCTCTTATTCCTTTTCCACGTAATAAAACAAAAATGCCTCTCATTTTCATGTTGTTCTTGTATAAGGTGTTCGGTAGGCAATAATGGAAGAGAGAAAACAAAATTCAAATTCGAAAGTGAATGATATTACTTCTGTAAAATTCCACGTCGAGTTGGAGAAAGGTAACGAAGCATTTATTGTAAGGGTGTGGAGATTTCTCCTTAGCATACACGTTTTAAAGCCGTGAGACTAATAGTGATACGTAGCGGGCCAAAACAGACAATATCTACTAGCAGTGGGTTTGAGCTGTTATAGATGGTATCTTGGAACTAGACACTGGGTGGTTTGCCAACGTGATATGAATCCAACTACTCATCAATTGCACATATCCAAAGTCGCAGTTACCAAAAGTAATGCAAAGAAGATTCAAGTATTAAATCAAGAAAAAAAAATGGAGTAAATTATTTATTATATGTTTTATCTTCTTTCATTTGTATTTAATAGCTTATATTGTTAGTTGGTAGTTGTCATGGTAGTTGACAGTTGAACTACATTATGTTTGAATTATCTCTTTGACCTATTTAAAAACAGGTTGTAGTTGGCAGCTACATTATGTTTGAATTATTTTTTGACCTATTTAAAAACATGTAATATTCAATTTTGAAATCAGAGTGGACTACAAAAATTTTGTATTTGAAACGCTTTGGGTGTTATGTTTCTTTCGAACCTTGCTTGAGTTTTGATATTAAAATCAATTTATTGGATTAGTTATGATCAAGCTAATCGTGAAGTGAGTCGTCTTGATATCTAAGAGTGACCATCATAGATTCTAAGTTCGATCTAAGAGTTATTCATCTTTCTGACCCACTCTGGTTAGAATCATTCAAGTTAATTTTATTTGTGAAAGTTTGCAATGATGCTAAAATGATCTCTAGCTTTGCAAAATCCAGCATATTAGCGTTTATCACAACCAGAACACCAGGCATCAAAAGAGGTGAATTGTGACATCTCACCTCAACTGAAAATCTCTTCGTAATCGACATGTTTCGTCAAGACAGTATGTCAGTAGCTTGTTAATTGTTGCCACCTTCCCCAGCCCAACAGACATCATGATTGACACAGCTCCCACTATCCCACCTTTTTCTCCTACCACACCACCTTCCTCTTATGCCTCTCATGCCCTTTTTTTTTTTTTTTTTTATTATTATTATTATTATTATTTTATTATGAACTTATATTTTAAAAATTGAAAAAAAAAATTAAAAATAGTAATATTTTTGAAAAATGGTTAAAAATTTAAATATTTTATTTAAATTAAAAACATCTTATTTTACATAATTTGAATTAAAAGTCCCATTTTGTTGGATGGGTGGAATGGTCCAACAAAGAAGCCTTGTGGCTCATAAAAGGGAAGCCTTTAATAACTCTATGCTTCACGCCATGGTTTACCTCATACTCCTATTCCTTAAGGGGTAAGCCTTTATATATGATGACTCAAATAAAACAAAAAGCGTTTTCTTTCGGACCAAGTCTCGAAACAACCCTTTCTTATAAAGATTCGATCCACCGATATCGATAAAAATATCAACGTCTCAAATTTATAAAGTTTGCAGTATAAATTTAAATTGGTGATATTTCTTTTTTATATTCAGTCGATGTCAATAATTATTTAATTGATTAATATTCTGACAAAATCCGACTGTTATAACATTAGTTCACTTTCCAAAAAGACCAAATATTTGAGTTTTTAATTCCGATCAGACTGTAGACTATAATTCATTATTATGTATGAAGCTTACGAAAATAAAAAGTCAAGAGAACGTAAAGTCAACTGAATGATGATAGCAGATATTTATCATTTATTTATAAAATAATTTATTTGTTACATAATAATGATATAAAATGTACTTTACTATTATAAAAAGTTTGATATGTTTATTAGTTAGTCAAACAGAATAAAAAAAAATTTCTCGATCGATACTAAAAATAAAAAAGATAAAAAAGAATGGACCGAGCTGCAATTAAATATAAAACGTAATGTATTAAAAAAAATATGTTAAATTAATAAAAATATCCTTAAACTTTATACTTTATTTGGTACTTATAAAATTTTAAATATTTTAATAATACTTTTAAAATAAAAAAAAAATTAAAAATCTTAAAAATACTATTACTATTAGTCTTGAACCGTACTTCATATTAAAAAAATATATAAAAGCTTCGGTGCTATTAGTATTATATTTAAAAAATAATTATGAAATTCTAAAAGTAACATTAACTCTATTTATGTTTATAAGAAGAAAAAATACATACCGCGAGGTTTTTTTTTACGAATACTAATAGTAAAAATATTTAAAAGTATTTTTAAAGTTTTAAAAAAAATTTAAAGGGTATTTTTGAATTTTTAAAATTAATGTTTTAAAAAGGAGTGGAAAATAAGTAAATAAATAAATAGAAGGAAGAGCGCACGTTTTGTGAGTATGCACACGTGGAGGGCGGGAAGGGAAGGGAAATGATTAGTGGTGGTGAGGAATAAGGAGCGGCCGCGCCTGCGCCCACACCCACGCCCGCGCCCACGCGCACCTCATCCACGCCCACCGTCCCTGACTCTGAATCTCGTCAGCTTTTGAACCAAAGGAAATGACCGTTTAGCATTTTGCCAGCTATTATTTTATTTATAAACCCTAAATCTCCCCTTTTCATCGTCATCCTTTCACTTTCCCCTTACTCTTTCTTTATAATCTTACTTTTCTTTTATAAATATGCACATTTTCCGAAATCGGGCAAACAATCTTCACGTGCTTCAACGGTACCATTTGCATTCGAGTGAGCGGATTCCCGTAGATAAAACGAACATCTCTACGTGAGACACGTTCTCTTTAGATCGATTGAAAGCTCATTTGGCAAAGCTGCTATGAGCTTTTGTGCCTTTAGCTCACTCTCTTTCTTCCTTAGGGCTCGAGTGGGTCTTGAGCTAAGTTCTAGGGCTAGTGTGCTCGTTGACCCTGAACGTGGGTGCCATTGGGCCAATTTCACCTTGATTTTATCTTTGGCTTTCGTCTTCTTTTTTGGGTTTGTCTCGATACGTTGTATTATATTAGAAAATAAAAGTTTAGGCTAATTTGAATTATATTAAACGTTCCGTTCTCTATTTCTACAATTATTGACATGTGAAGATATTACTATAAAAGATTATTAAAGAAGTAAAATTTAAATTATTTTTTTTAATTTAAAAAAGTCGGTTCGATGAATAGACGCGAGTTCATGTAAATTATTTTAATGATATTTTTATTTAAGAAAAGTTCACTGAAGTGTTAATAACCACCTCACCGTTTTGTTTGAACTAGAAAATAATGGAATAAAAATATTATTGAAAAATGAAGATGAAATTATTAATTATTTTCTTAAAGTAGAAATGAAATTATTATTTTTATTTATGCAGAAGCAATATTAAAATAGTTTACTTATTTCAGACACGTAGGATATGTAATAAATAACATTAAAATTACCAAATAATTCCACTACCATCATTATAAAAATGAGTTTTCTTTTTATTTTTTATTTACATTTATTTCTCATACCAATATTGCCATATTAGGCAACTAAGTTCATTCATTTATTTATTTATTTTTTAAATTAAAAGATTGTGG